CCATCGTGTAGCACAGGATCCAGAAGAACGTCAAAGGTTTTCGGAGAAAATTATTGTCCTCCTCCTTACAGTTGATGCCATTGAGGTAAACTGTCTCCTGCCTTTAGCACTCCTTTCTTAATGCCAATCATTCCCTTCTATTGCACCTTCATAAGGATATTGTCTAGATTGGGACAATTATGTTTTCATAAGAACAAATGAACCTTAGTACATGCAAATTAATCCATTTAATGAGTATCGGGTGGACATCAATCGTGTACATAGATGATGGAAGTAATGTTTCTTTTTTCAGAATTTTAAGTTTGATTGGTTTGAGTTCCTGAGTTTATGTACATTTACTATGATATTGTTTAGACTCTGGATACCGTTTCTTAAAATAGCTTAAGCTTGCAATGCCGCTAATTGGAACAGCGATCAAGTTTTAAACCCAAGAAGGGGTACACAGTATAGCTCATGCCGTCACATTGGAAGAGTGGAGAGGCTTAGTCTGTTTCAAGGATATATCTTTAAAAGATTTTCCTAGGAAACTGAGTTCATAGTGATTTACTTGGTGCTTTTCAATCCATGTTATTGTTGTTCAGCCATCTTGAGCATTTATGTTGACTATATGCTTTTCTGATATGCTATTGTGTTGTAATTAATCAGGGAGCTGATCTTACAGTGCGAGTGGCAAAGAAGTCTATGGTGGATGAACTGGAAGCTATGCTTGACGTGGTCGACCCTCAGCCATCCGGGAAATCACTTTCCATGAAAAGGAGGACATTTGACATGCCTGATAGTGTAATCCAGAAGGAAATTGCTAAGGGTGTGGCGCAAGTTGTTCAGATGCTTGAAAATGAAGAGAGCAGCACATCCGAGGCATAATTTTAAAGGTAATATTGCAATGCAAGAAGTCACCCAGTTATGGGTTCCCTGTTCTAACTAACATTATGTGAGAGATGCGGCCTGGGATGTAATTATCTGTACTACTAGAACTTCGCGCACTATGTTCCATCTTTTGAGCAGAGTTGTGCTGTATCACGTTGTGCTTAAATTTATTTTTCCTCCTGTTTCACCTCCGTTCTGTCTATTTTTATCTAAATTTTGTTAAGAACACCAGCAGAATTTACTTCACAGTTAGTGAAGATAAGTTGTTGCATAACAAAGTCCTCAACTCACTCGGAGGACAATGTGGCCGAAGATGATAAGGGCAATTATCATGCGGAGCACTTTTTGCTAGCCAATCTGCCACTCATTTGCAGACCTAACAACATGATCCCAAATGGTGAGTCAGTTTTTTCAGCACTTCTCAACAATTAACTGGTTACTGATTATCCGATTTAAACACTATTTGAATAGCCCAACATGGCTGCTTGACAGTTAATTTCATAGCCATAATCAGTGCTTCCCCAGCCAATGCAGTCTTGATACAGCAAGGTTAAATCCAGAACCATACTCATCTCAACAAATTACTGCAACTCCAGCAATACTTGTACCAGCCGAAAAAGCATCATGTGTTAACAGTTGCTGCAAAATCATAACTGGGTCAAGATCAGCCGATCAGAAAAAAAAAGAAGAAGAAAACTGGGGTCAAGATCGTACACTCTCTGATTCTCGCTCATGCGTCGTTTGTTTAGTTTGATGAGCTATCATTTGTGGTGGCACTTGTTTGATGTTAAAAAATGACATTAGTTCTTCTCTTCCAAATGTGCCAACACAGGCATGATATTTCCTTCATAGTATTAGGGAAGAAACATGATATTGTTGAAATACCATCTCCCAGCAATTTGCAAAGAAACATGATATTGTTGAAATACCATCTCCCAGCAATTTGCAAAGAAACATGATATTGTTGAAATACCATCTCCCAGCAATTTGCAAAATTATTAAAAGAAGTATCATATGTGGCAATTAAATAGCTCTTAGAAATAATTCAGTGGCAGTAGGATTATTCACTTATTTGCATGTTAAGAAATTTAAAGTTGTAATAGGTGTACAGATGTATCATGTGCATATATATTGAATTATACAATACTAATTATTAGATGAGAGTTAAGTTACTTCATATTAGGGACCTTTTTCTTATTTAATGGTTTTTATTTTACAATTTGAACAAGGTTCCATATATATATATATACACACACACACCAACAAGAATTTGACTGAGTTAATATTTACAATTTGAACAAGGTTCCCATATATATATATATATATATAGTATCCATATTTAATAGCAACATTGACATTTGCAACTATGAATGTAATATGTTGATTAAAAAAAAAAATTATGAATTGAATAATAACACATCAGATTGTAACCTAACTTCTAATCAACTTAGTATTATTTCCCTATTTTACCAAAGGATAGGCACAGTAAATTTCAATTAACTTTGCCAAACTTTTGAATCCCATAATCTTTTTTCAAAGAGTTTTGAATTATAAAATATTTGACTCCTTCATCCTCACCATAACCAACAATAACACTGAAAGAGATATTTTCTTACTAGCTCTAGCTATTTGTGTACTACCTTATTTAAAGATTATTTTAATATTTATAATCAAATTTCAAATGTTAATTATTTTAATGAATAAAACGAGATAAAATATATCTTAGATTTAATATGTAAACAATAACAGATGACTTAGATCACTATAAAATTAATAGAATTCTTTTGATTAAATCTATAGATGGAATAAGAGGTTGTTAGAAAATAACCTATTCCTATATGCATAGCTTCTAACAACCTATTGTTGCATGTATAGATTTAACTAAAGAATTTTATTATTTATGATGTAAGTAATCTATTTTTCCTTACATTTTCAAATCAAGGATATATTTTATCTTGTTTTGTTCATTAAAGTAATTAGCATTTGAAATCTAATTATATATTAAAATAAATTTTAAATTAGTTGGAGCTGGTAAAAATAAATCTTATTTAGTGTTATTTTTATTATGATGAGTATGAAGAAATAATATTTTTTTATAATTCAAAACTCTTTGGGGATAGAATATGGAGTTCATGGGTTTGGCAAAGTTAATAAAAGTTTATTGTGCTTTTTCAACTATCCTTTGGTGAAGGAGGGAAGTAATACCAAGATGATCGGAAGCTAAGTGATTAATTTGATATGATATTATTCAGTTCAGTTTCTTTTTAATTTTAGAATGTTCAATTCATGGTTATATATATTGATACTATTGCTAAATAGGGATACAGTGTGGATAGCTTTTTAATTGGTATTACACTATTGCTTCTATAATGATAACTCTGTTTTTACCATGTTTTATTACTAGTTATGTAATGACTATTAAGTTTATGATGGAACCATTAGAATTTGTAAATTTTTTTTTTTGTTCAAACTTATCTAATTCATGTGTAGGTAGTTTTTGTTCTTCTTTAGTGTAGATTGAACTTGAGAAATGGTGATCTACATACACACAATACTCATTTGGGAAATGATTGTTTTACCCACCAAACTGGCACCCACTCTTACACACCCTTGGTTTAAAGATTAAAATACAATCTTTTCTTGTTAAAAACTTATCCTCGCTTATCTATAATAAGGCAATTCAATGCAATGCCCAAGGTTAAAATTTCTCAAATTCCATTTACTTTCCTTGTCTCCTTGCTTTTTCTTTCTTCCTCCATGACCATTTCTCTGCCTGTCTCCTTGATCTGTTGAAGGAGAACCCAAATTTAGGTTTTTTAAGAGAACCCATGAGATCTCAAGAAGAATCTAGATTTGGGTTTTAAATAAAAAAGAAGAAGAAGAGCATTTGATGTAAATAGGTAGGGTTTTGTGGTTCTTGAAAGACATGGATATTTTTTGATTTTTTTCTATTGTCATCCTCGTTAAATACTTTTACATTCATTTTTGCAGCAAACGAGGCAAGTCCTTTCCTTTTGAGAGAGATTTTCAATATTTCGAATGAGGTGCCATTGTTGTTGATTTTAAATTTGGATTGGATAAATTTATGAAAGATTAAAAGGCAATTGCTAAAGAGAACTCCTAAGCAAAGGAAGTTTTTAAAAATTCTTCTATTTTAAATTTGGATTTAGTAAATTTATTGACATCTAAGTATCAATCTTAATGAATTGGTGAGAGGATTTGCAAAAGTTTAATGGCTAGAGGTGAGAGAAGAAAGGGAGTACAGTAAGAAGAATGGACAAGCTACATGAGGCGTGAGTTTCCATAATAGTGGGCTCAAGCAGTTGCTACAAACAATGCTCAAACAAAAATAATAGTGTGTTTTATGTTTGGAAAAAAAATTAAAATCGTAAAGTAATAATTTTATAAGTGGTGTGTGGTGAATGGTGTTGGTTCGTGGGTGTGCATCGATCAGCATCCTACTCATTTTGAGTCAAAATGTTTGTTTTTTTTTTTTTAAATGATTATATGTTGTTTTAAAATTTTTCATGTGGATAAATATTTTTTGAACTTTATTCCATTGTTATCCTCTTTTTAATATATATTTTTATATTGTTTCAAAATTTTTAAGTGAAATTGCAAATTCAAATAACATAATGCTTACATCAGCTAAAAAAAAGAAAATGCCTCCATGAATATTGCAACCAGATACAAATACAAGATTTAGTACTCAAGCTGTATTATAATATAATACATCTAGATGACACAACATTTTTTTTAACCCAACCAACCTCCTATTCACACTGCCATCCTCTGGTGACAATGCAAATTTTAATGAAAAATGAATTGATCAAAGTTATTGTTATATTATGTTTAGAGAAAAGTGAAAATTAGGATTTTAGAGTTGGGTTTCACTTACACATTCGTCTTTAACATTACATTTATACAAAATCTTAATTATTTCTCTCCATTTTTAATAGTTAAAATTTATTTATTTTTTTTATCATATATACTAAAGATAAGTATCATTTTCATTTTAATAATCATGATAAATTTCAATCCTTGAAAGTAAATAGTTAATTAAATAATTAAAATTTTGTGTAAATATAATGTATAAGGTTTATGAATAAATGGATCCCTAGTATATATACTTTTTTTTTTTTGTGTGTGTAGGGAATATGCAGTTAGCACAGCAGATTCTGAGGAGGCTGGAGATGGCTCTCCAGAGTAAACTATGTGGAACCCCTTTCTGTCATTTTGTGAAGATCTGATTCCCCTTTTGTTTTCTTTTACATGATTTAGATTCAACAGATTAATTAATGGTGTTTCGTCCTTGTAATTGAGTTGCCAAAATTATCAACAAGGATTTATCAATTACCTTTTCTGTGAATTATGGATTCTCCTTGTGTCTCACAGAGTTATCTGTGGATTTTGTCCTATTGATGACCTCAACGAACTCACAGATGATCAGCGTCAAGAATGTGATGCGTTTTTGAAGAAGGCCATTGAGCATTGCAACCTCTATGAGGTTGGTTTGTCTTTCGAGTCATCAAGCATTCTATGACTACCCTGACATCTTTTATTATCTATTCGAAAGTGTTGTCAAATTTGTGATTGGTTGGTCGATTAATCACAATTAGGCGAAAGGTGATGGGGTACTGCACCGCTTTTACCCTCTTTTCCACTCAATTTGGCTGTAGTTTGCCAAGCTGGTTACTATTTTTTAAATCTATAACATAATTATGCTATAATCTAAGAACAATCACGGGAAATTTCCTCAGGTGATCCTGGCGAGCTTGTCTACTGAAGTTATAGTTGGAACAGTGATTGGATGTGTCCTCACACGATGGAGCTCCAAAGGTGACTTGCCAAGCAAACTCGACTTGGATGCCAGAGATTGAAGAAGGGTCACGTTAGTTAAATGAAAGGACACACTTCGACCTTTTTTTGGGGCATTTTTGTCGTTCAAGATCTGTACAATGTGTAGTACGGTCCCTAAAATTTCAATTTATTTGTGCCATTTTTTATTTTCTTTTTGTTCTTTTTTTGATTCAAAACGCCCAAGCTCGACTAATTGCAGTTTGGGCACTGCCCACTGACTTCTGCAACCTTGATTCAAAGATTAGTTGGTTACTTCTTTTTTCCTTCGACATTTTAACAAAATGCAAATCTGGAGTTTGTGAAGCTTTTGTAGGTTAACATTCATTACCTTTCTGCTGAGATGTGTTACTTTACCTTTGAAGCCAGGGATGCCAAATATGGTTCCGTTAGCTCCCATCAAGCCAAAGTTTGGTACGCTATTTCACATCCAATGGACAAAGATGCGCCATTTCACATCTAGTGGACAAAGGCTTAGTGGCAACAGAGGTGGTAATGTGTAGGAAGAAACTTGACACTAATGTTATCGGCATTCTTTGTAAGATGTATAATTTGGCCATCCTATATATGTTATTCAGGCAAGTGAAAAATGGTGGGTTATGAATCGAAATGTTCATTTT